GTTGTGGCTTTCCCCCCCCCCCCATTCTTTTACTTATTGCTGGGCCTTTCTTCGGTTTAACGTCTGTTTTGCGTGTGCGTGTGTGTCTGTTTTGCGTGTGCGTGTGTGTCTGTTTTGCGTGTGCGTGTGTGCCTGTTTGTGTGTGATCGGCGGCATCTCTCGGCTCCTCGTCTTTTTTCTCCCTGCCTCTGGGGGGTGCGTGCGCGGTAACGCTAGAGAAAGAGAGAGCGCGCGCGACAGTTGTTTAGCGGTGACGGTTACCCGGGCAGCGAGGCAAACGGAGACGGAGGGCGGTGGACGAAGACAGACACGCCAGGCAGTGCGTTGAGACGCGGTAGGCAAACCAAACAAGCAAACAAGCAAAACTCGAAAAAAAGGAATATATTTATATTTATGTATACGAAGACACTCATGCAATCCGGACGCCCCGCCACCGTGGCGTCTGTCACGCGTGTGGTGTCCGCAAGAAGGGCGTGGCCACCAACACTCCTCTCCGCCCTGCTGCTGCTGCTGCTGCTGCTGACGGTGGTGTGGGCTGCCCGGCCTGCGGAGGCGCAGGCTCCTTCCCCGTCGCCTGCTCCCCCGACGCCGTGGGCGGCGTACAGCTTCTTCAGCAGTCTCGCCTGCCCACCGTGTTCGCAGGGGCAAACCGATGGCCCAAGCGGCGTCGGTACACTCTTCACCGCGGCCGGTGGCTCGCTCGGCCCCGATGGCCATTCGCTGCTGCTCTGCGACGTCGGCGGCGGGGGCTCTAGCGTGCGGATTGTGAACCGCTCCGGCATCTTCACCGTTGCCGGTAGTCGCACGGACCGTGGCATGAGCAACGGGCCAGTGGCGCAGGCGCTCTTCAACACGCCCACTAGCGTGGTGTACGAGAACGGCGCGCTCTACGTGGCCGACAGCGCCAACAACGCCATTCGGCGCGTGGCGGGGGGCATGGTGAGCTCCTTTTTCTCGGCGGGGCTGCAGAATCCGTCCTACATCCTCCCCTACCGACGTCCGGTTGGCGCACACGACTTGTTCGTCTCCGACACCGGCCACTACCGCATCATTTTTACCCCGCTGCAGAACCACACCTTCTTCACGGAGTTCGTCACCGGGTTCCAGCCTGGCGTCCTGCAGATCAGTGTGTCGCGTCGGCGCATGTTTGCCATTAGAAACGCCCTCAAAATCGTGGCGATTGACATGGACGCCGCCAACGTCAGCGACAGCTCCTGGGACGTCGGCAACAGCAGCTGCACGGGCTACCTCAGCTCCCTCATGCTCACGGCGGACGAGAGTGAGCTCTTCTACTACGGCAACCGGGACGGAACGGCGTACATCTTCTCCGTCCCCGCCACGGCGTCGAAGGACAAGGCGCCAAGCCTCTGCCCGCAGGTGGTGATGGAGTGGACCGGCGGCGCCGTCACCTCGCTCGTGCTTGTGAACCAGCACGAGTTTTACGTCGTGACCACCTCCGACGTCTACCTCGTGCGGGACGGCGCCTACACGCCGACGCCGACGCCGACGCCGCCGCAGACGCCCACCGTGACGCCGACGGCGCCGCTGTCGCCGACGATCCCGCAGACGCCGACCCCGAGCATCACCGTCTCGCCCTACCGCGGCGACGTCGTGGCCGCCTTCCCCGCCGCAAGTCTTCCGCTAGCCAACGAGCATCTCATGGCCGAGCTCTACGCGTGGATGATGAAGGATGTGGGAATTGCGTTTAACTCCACCGACTTCCTCGCCGTCTTTCCGCCGAAGGGGAAATTTGACGTGCCCGGCGACGTGAACGTCTCCACCTGGACAAACCTGACGACGCAGCTCAACTTTGACGGCACCATTGCGATCACGGAGTACTACACACCGCACGGCATGTCCTCCGAGGAGGGGCAGGACCGCCTCTTCGCCTCGCCGTGGTACTGGACGAGGAAGTTCCTGGATTCCCTCAAGCAGGAGGCGCCGTGGACGCACCTAGAGGACTTCTGTGTGCTTAACTGCGTTGAGCAGTGCGCGACGATGACCTTTGACAGGTCGCAGTGCCTAGACTACGTAAAGCCGCCGGCGTGCAACGACGTCTGTGTGGGGGCGGTGGTGTCCTCCGCGGTGCTCGGCGCCACGGGCGTTGCGTTGTTTGCCCTCATGATTGGAAGCCCGGCGAATGCGCTGAGTGCCGTGCTGCTCGTGCCACCCGTGTAGAGCCCACCCACCCACCCCCGGCCGCGGCGGCACCGCAACAAAAGTAGAAAACCCCGGAGGTGAGAAGTGGAGGCGCATATCCCATGTAGCAAGAAGGAAGAAAGATGAAGAAAAAAAGAGAAGAGAAATGAAAGAAGCCCCCCCGT